TAACTACAGTGCTTAATTCTTCACCACTTTTATTTCTTTCTTGGTTGAACCCCTTATTTCTTTTCCTGATTATTTTTTTGTAGAACGAAGACTGTTTTCCCATGATGTGATTCAGTCTGAATATTTTTATAATGTATTTTCTGTATAGTGTTATTTTATAATTGTCATGGAGATAAATTTGACATGTAGTAAGTAACCAGTCCATTCTGAGCAGGACTTACGCTTACTTTTAAAGTGTAACCTTTAAGGATTTTCAATAGGACTTTCCACTATACCGTGTACATGTGTAAATACACTGGATAGTTTAGAAGTACCCTTGTTTTCCGAGTGCAATATGTGGCAGAGCCAGAACATGCCTTTAATTATCCTGCAAGAGAGTGTAACTTGATCTCATCCATTGTTACTGTCCAAAGTTGATTATTTGGAGCATACTTGTTCTGTTATCCCAGAGGTGTTATGCCTGTTGCGTCTATTATATCCCACAGGCAATTGTGCTTGCATCTTCAGGTCATTGAGAACAGAGATAGTTTCATAATTGTGTGGGTAACTAAGGTTTTATTTCATTCTACTTTTAACTGTGATTTAGCTGTTTTATTATAAAATAACCCAGAAACAAAGAGGGCACATTGAGCCTTCTGTGTTTAATTTATTATGTACTAATGGAATAGCTTTTCATAAACACCCAGAGTCTTCTCCATTCATTCTGATGTCTTAGCTCAAGAGTCTTCTGGTCACCTCCCTCCCTCTAAAAGCGTCAGTAGAAAATGAGATGAATTTTTGCGTCTGTCTTACTGTGTAGGTGCTTAAGGTTGAGTGAGAGGAATACCATCAAAATGTTTGACAGTAAAGTTAGGCTAAGCATGTCTGAAAAGCTGGCAGATACAATTTTTACAGATCATGATACAGGCCAGAGTTTTTTGAGTTTCTTGTAGAGAGTTCTGTCCAAAGATATTTTTAGAATAAGCATTAAACGTGTAATTCAAAGCATGCTGATGAAAGTATGCATTGGGTGTTTTATTCCGGGTCTAACATGCAAGTCTTTCTTTTATATCATATGAAATACATATGCCAATCTAGATTAGAACCAGGTAGAAGGCGTATTTGGAATGCTGAATGGTAGGGATATTTTCATGGCAGCAAGAATCATAACGAGTTTTTTTAGTTTACTACTATTAGCTGTATTTCAGTCTTTTTGTATCAACATCCCATTGCTGCGTATTGGTTTTAATGGAAATTAAAATCATGAACAAACTTAAAGTTTTATTAGAAGGTCTGCGAAAATTTTGCCATTTGCAACAAGATTTCCCCTCTTCTTCCACCTGTCCTCTTTAATCACCGCGCGCGCACACACAGACACACAAACACACGCACACACAGAGTTTGTGCTGCAGTACCTTAATACATCTCTTTGTTTTAAACCACTGTTTTGGTCATGTTCAGTAATAGCGCTTTACAGTATCAAATACTGATGTTAGCTGGTTTTTGGTTTGGCCTGTCCTGTTTCTCACCATCTTCACGCTGCGGGTTGTGCCAGGATGTTAACCTTCCCTGGAACACTGAGACATCCCATGTTTGTGATGGTCATCAGCTGCTTAAATAATATAAAATGTAGGGGTAATAATATGCGGTGGAACTGTTACATTTTTAAACACAATCTAGTTTTTGTCTTTGCTAAATTCATGTGACATACAATTGTATCGGAAGTCTTTTATTGTTGTGGCAAGACACTGCCTGGCAGGCAGGCCCTCTACGTAAAAATCAAAGTTGCTTCTTGCAAATGAACTTGAACTTTTTGTAAGATACTAATTTTAGAGAACACAGAGTTTTGTTGTTTTCCTCTCTATTCTAATTAATTTTTTATTCTCCCATCCCTTCCTTTCATATTTGTTTTTCTGTTGCTTCACTGTTTTTTTTATTGTATTTTTTTTTAGGTCTCTGCTTTTTGTGCTTGTGGCAGCTCCATTTTAAAGTGGAACTTGATCAGGCATTTATTGATATTTTGATTTCTAAAGCAATACAAGCTAAAGTCTTGATGTATGTATACACATGTTGTATGTGGTTTTTAAGATTTCAGCTTTCTCAGTTGTAGACTGAAGATGTAATTTTGCAGGTACTATAGTTTCACATTGTCTGTGTGGAACAGTCTGTTTTGCCAGAAGGGATTCTTTTCTGGACATAAGTTTGAGGGACTGAGACTTAACTTCATTTCCTCTCTTTCAAAAAGTAAAACCTTGACTAGTCTAGTAAGTGTGCTCCTTTTGTATGCTTCTGCATGTAAATCTCTGCCTCTTACTCCTCACCCTGGCTATATAATACCACATTTTAGCCTAAACTCAGGCTACTGATTGCCTTAATACCATCTGTGTGGCTTGATTGCAACATACATTTTTTCATTTCTCAAACTGTGAATAAAGGACAATCTGTCCTAGTGGAGTATCTCCAGGGTATACTAATTTTTCAGGTCTCTTTGCAATGTCAGAATGTGCTTAAATGTGGTTTGTTTCCTACGTTCCTTCACCAACAGTCTCTGATAAGAAGACAGGTTGTTCCCTCTGCTTTCGGCAGTTTCCTTCCATGAGCAGAAAAGGTGCTTTTGCCCTCTGCTTCAGTAGTAGGTCCAAACCCACATGCTGATAGCCGTATCAGGAGGCTGACCATACAGAATATTCTCCAGTGTTTTGTTTTCGGTTTGGTAATTTCCCTTTTTTTGTTTTTTTTTTTTTTTTTTTCTTTCTTCTCTCAGTTCCTCTAACTTTCTACAAACTAGGATTGTGCTAAATATTTAGGAACTGGCTGGGCTTGGAGTAGGCTTTCAAAATGCACCTTAATTGTCTATAACCTGAAAGACTTTTTTTTTCCTTTCTCTGCAACAAGTATTTTTCCTGCCTTCTCATACCTTTCAGATCGGCAGGCAGTGAATTTTCTAGCATGTCTTTTATTGATTGCATAAATGGCCCTCTTCGCAGTGGGTCTAGTGGACTCCCTCAACGCGAGAACTGCAGTTGGCTTTACTTGCCTATGCCAGGGCTAACGCAGATTCAGTTGGCCAATGTTAGCATCAGTTGGGGTAGTTGGAGAGTATAACTTAAGGGTAGTATAAAATAAAATTGACTTTACCATTAAATTAAAGGAATGATATACAGACTGTATGAAACATACTTTGCAATTTAAGCAAGTTCCTCAATTTTTGAAAATGTATCTGAAGCTGCTCTAGAGTGCCTGGTCTACCACAGTGGAGCACTGCAGAATCCAAGGACCTCGCCGCAGGATTTAGGTCACCCTTGCTGCGGAGCACACAGAACCTGGGGTATTGTCCCTCTTCCTGAAATTCCTGAATCACCTCCTGGCTGCTTCTGACATCTGTTTTTTAGCTCTCACTGTTCACTTCAATTTCATATGTTGGTGCTTTAAGTAGTCAGTGTTGTTTGTTTCATGCTGTGTGAATGTAAATGTTTAGAGATTTGTGAAGCACAGGCTTGTGCTTCACAGTATTCATGTCCTGCTTGCTAGGCTCATGCTTACAGCTTTTGACATCTGGTTGGTATGTTTTGAACTCTGTTATATTGTCTGGCACCCATATTGCAGTTACCTGACAGTAAGTAGATGCTTCCTACCTTTTTCTAGAACTCTTCAACAAGCGGTTTGTGCAGTGCACCCCATGTCCTTGCACTAGTGCTCTAGTGCAGTCAGGTGGGTGTATAAAAGACCAAGTGAATGTGTGCTGCATCTTGTCTAAACTCGGAAATCATGAAACTGCTTGGTTGGCAGGATATGCTCACTAACTTATCCCCAAAAGCTGGGGGGAGCTGCTGGTTTCTTCTGCATTTGGTAGGTGTGAAATATTTGTTCAGGGAAGTATTTCTAAAGTCTGCTTGGTTATTTTGAAGGTTTTTCCTGAGAATTGATGAAAGATGCTTCTGGGTACTTTCTAATGGCTGTAAGGAGTTAGCTTTGCTGTTTTCTGGCTTGAATTGGGACTTGTAGGTAATTATTTATGCAAATAGCATCCAAACAGAGCTTCTGCACAAATGGAAACCTGTTGCTTAACAAAAGTGCTTACCAGAACCGGTAGAGAAGTTGCTGAAAGGAAAAGCTCTGCATTTGCCCAGTTACAGGTGTGTTTATCTTGCACTAAAATTCTTACAGAGCACAGAAGAGCCAAAGATCTGGCAGCCATTTTCAGAGGAGCATGTTTTGCTGCTGCTGCTGAGAAATCTGTAGCTCACATTTGGATGATCAAAAAGATAATTTTACATCTGTGTATGTTTCAAGTAAGATTTTAAAAGCCACTCTGCCTTTATAGGCTTTCATATTCCCTTACTTACTCAATACTAGGGTTATCTACATTATATCTTAGTTTTTTATTCAGGTGATTACTGTACAATATGACATTTTACTCATATGAACAGTAAAAATAGATCTGCAGGTGTAATTGTGGGCAGTGCAAGCCATGGAATTAAACAGTCATGAGAAAGTAGGGAAGAAGCAGGATATTTTTTAGCATTCTGTCTAAAATTGCTGTGTTTTAGCAATAGCAACTAGTGAGCTACAGTTTTCAACACTTACAGAAGAAAATGAAATGTAAACAGAACTCAGGCTAGTCTCTCTAAATACAGCTGCAGGACAAACACCTCTGCAGAAAGGCAAATTTAGAGAGGATTTCTTTGTCCGAGTATGAAACCCAAGTACTGTTTGTGTTACAGTCCTTTTGTTGGCAGTTTTGTGTTTGTGAATACAGTCCTCAGAGTTATTTTATTTTATGACTCTTGTACCACTTTTATTTTTAATTTTGCTGTGTTAACTAGTGCATTGTGCAGTAATTAGTCCCATGCTTTGATTCTCAGCTGTTATTTTTAATGAGTCTTCAGAAGAGTAACCTGTGGGAGAATTGCATGCTCTTTGTTACCATCCCCATGGAACTGTACATGCATCTAATCTGGATGAGTTCATAGTAGCCCTCAATTTTTAAGTAATATGGCTATTTTCTTCTTCATAGGACTGAGTTTGCCCTAAAAGAAATCATGTCATCAGGAGGAGCTGAAGATGATATTCCTCAAGCAGAGAGGAAAACAGTGACAGACTTTTGCTACTTATTGGATAAATCTAAACAGCTATTCAATGGCTTAAGGTTAGTGCATTTTTGGCAGTATTCCTTCAGAAAAGCACTGGAACATACACTTTAGTATGTGAGTGATGCTGAAGACAGTTGTACAATTAACATTTCAAACTCAAAACCAGTGAGTTTATTTAGGGGAGAACAATGTGCACCTATGTATGGGTAGTTTTGGACCATGTATGTAAGAATATCTGTAGGCGTAGACATTCACGCATTTCTTCTGAGACAGTAGGGAAGGAAATGTGAGAAAGGTGAGCTGAATATCTTGGTCATGTCAGTTAACAGTAAACTAAAGTTGGAAATTCCGTGAAATTGATAGAATTTGTACTGAAATGTTGTGTATGAAGAACACAATTAAAGACTAGGTGTGGCTGTATACAGCTAACAGCATGCAAGTCCAAAACCCAACAGTTTCTGTACCAAAAAAAAAAAAAGGGATGAGAAGGATTGGCCTAGGTGGGAGGAAAGGTGGGGAGAGAATATTTTTGGGGAGGAAATTTAGGAAGTGATAAACAGAAACATCCAAACCATAGCCTGTATGTGTCTGGTGAAAAAATGCTTAATCTGAACTGTGGAGAAAGGTAAAATCTGCATTTATCTACAAAACATCTGCAATAACATCTAGAAAGTCTAGCTGTTTTGTCAGCACCAATAAGAAGGGGAATAAGAGTAAGGGGAGTTCAAGGAAAATAGTTCACGTTTGGACAGTGATATAGGCATCCTGTTTATGTCAATATATGCTGAGTTAAAGATTATATATTCAAGAGCTGTTTTATTTCTAAGCTTTGCTGTAGAGTCTCTTAAGCAACATGGTTTTTAGCTCATATCTTGTTGGCAGTTCAGCGTCTTACTGGTCTCTGAGTAATACTGTATGTTTGGGCCCATATAGCTTGCTGTTACTCAAACACAGATGGTTAGCAAAGATGTTTTTAATTCCTCCTCCCCACCCCCCACTATTGATAATTCTTTCATGTCCTTTGAAGTTGATTACCAAATCCAAAACAAACAGTTTGTGCTCCAAAATCTGGATGGTAAATGGGCAGTAGAGACAAGGAGTTCTTGGTGATGGCATTCGGCACCCCATGAAACAGGGTCTAAAGCAGAAGGACTGAGATCTTGAGGGCAGGATTTCCAGGATCATATATGCCATTACATTGGCTTTCTGATATAGCTTGCTTGAAATTTTGGCCCGAGTCACTGAAGAGTGCAAATTAATACAGTTCATGTCTGGATGTGTGATGGTCCAGTTCAGATCACAGATATGGCAGAGCACCTACAGCCATTCTGTCTTTTCCTTTGGGCATGGAGGGAGTTAGTACTTATATCAGATTTCCAGATGAGACATGTAGTTTCCATGGCATGGTACTTTGCCAAAAAGAAACCTTCTTATCCAGCTAAATGAAAAGAAAATGGAAAATACCTTTGGATGAAATTTGGACAATAAAAATAGAGAGATGGGCTTCAGCAGCCAGCTCTGCTCTGTGAAAATAAGAACATACCGGAACAGGAGCCTGCCTCTGTCCTTACTGTAACTTGACACAATTAACGTAGTTGCTTCTTGCACTGAACTTGACCACCATTTCACCTATAAGGCCTGTGATTGCTATGGGCATAATGATTGGATAAAGCAGCGTTATAATTTTCAGGTATCTCCTCTGTTAGTGCTTGTTCTCTTCTGGCTAGTTCACCTGGAAATGACTTGACAAGTATCCTAATTCTTAGTCCAGTTGCTTGCTTTTCCCTCTAGTATAATAAATGCATTTGATGCATGCCTGCTGCCTTCTATTTTGAAGATGATGATGGCTTTTGGTGCTGTGTTTTATCCCATTCTCTTGTCCCTACCATGTTTCGTGGAAAAGAAGTGATGGGGGAGGGAGAGGAGAGCAATGATTTCCTTCCTGAAACCTCTCTGGGCACTTCAGCTACAGGGAACTGAGCCTATAGCTGTGTTGGCAGCTGCTTAGCTGTTGCTGCTGCCAAAAATGCAAGGGCTCAGCCTGCCACGTCTTTGTTTCAGTAGCATTTCCTTCCTCTCTTCCCAATACAGATGCCAAATACAGCATTTGAGGAAAACATATGATAATCTGCCAAGGTTGCTGCTCCAAAGTATACTTCATGCTCACGCTACAGTGATACCATCCTTTTGTAGCCATGCCTGCTAGAATAACTTAGAGGGGAGGTTGTCTTTCTAGTGTCTGTACTCCCTTTTCGAACACCCTGAGCTATAAGTTAGAAACAACTGTTAATGAAGTGTGTTCCAATTGCTCTCTTCTCTCCTTTCCCCACTCCCACTTGCTTTTTTCTTGGAAAAAGGGTGGAAAGAGGGAGCGTGTTAGGAAGCAGTTTTTCATGGTGTACTGTCACCAGTTATTATTTTCTTTTTAATGTTAAAAAGTGCTTAAATGTGTTCAGTATCACAGAGAAGCTTGAAACTTTTTAAAAAATGAAAAAATTTCCACATATATCATACTTTCCCAGATTGTAAGGTCTTGTTGCTCATTGTGCGGCTGCAAAAATCACGACTGCTGTCCTTTCATGGAAAGAGGTGACAGTGTTTAACCATTTATTTTGTAGACTTCTAGTAAGATGCAAGTTGAACTTCCTGGTTTTGTTCCATGCTGCTGCTGCTGATGTAGAAACAACAGCACCCTGTTAGCTTCAGGTAATGCTGCAGGCTGTTACTGGGAAGGGACTGGCTTCTCACACCGATTGCATCAGTGAGGCAAGTTACTGTGAGTGCTACTGGTGTGCTTACTGTCTTTGTGGGTTATTAGAGGTGATAGGGAAGCTACACAACAATGCCGTTATCTCACTGCTGCTTAGGTTCTGGGAATAGGAGCCTGTAATTACGATAAGCCTATGAACATAAAAGGAAATTGTCTTTTTTATCACCTGTCAAAACTGTGAATGTATTTAAAGCTCTGAATGTTAAACTTACAGTTATTGTAACCTTCCGTTTTGAAGTGTACTGCTGAGTCTCCAGGACTTTCTCAACATCTTTACATCTGGAAGTTGTCCCTGTGTGACAACTTCCATGTGGTGCTGGCCAAACAAACCTCAGCACCTTTAATTGGTTTTCAGCCAGTATTATTTGGCTTCTGCCAACAGCATGGCTGAAACGAACTACTGACAGAAAATGAATTACGAGCACATAAGTAGTGCTGGTCTTTGCTGAGACTATACAGAAAGAATTGGATAGAATTCTGGACTGTCTATGGAATTTATGCACCAGCCACTTTAGTGTGGCAAGGGAACCAGTCTTCTGTGCCCAGTGTGAGAAACCCATCCTTTTAGAACATCTGAGTTTGTGTTTTCACGTCCAGTTTGGAATGTTTTAAAAGCCAAGAAATTGGAAACAGTCTCAACTTGTTGTTGGAGGCTGTTGTAATGACGTGTGTAACTGTCGTCTTTGTCTGGATAGAACTGTCCTAATCAAAGCATCTCCATTCCCTCCTCTGCATCTGGGTTGCTTTTGCTGCCACTTCCTCCCTCCTGTAAAGCTGATCGTGGTCAGTAACAGCATGAGTGAGTACCCCTACCACTGCCTGTTCTGTACCCAGCATCTTCAGGCAGGCACACCCCAGAGGAACATGAGGCTGTTGCCTTTTTCTCTCCGTATTGCTCTAGTATCCTTCTGTAGATCTGGAAGTAGCAAAATGTCTTGCTATAACACAGGTCTTTTGCTCTCAAGTTGGGTGTATAATTGCTTCTGGATTATATATTCCCTGACTCCTTGAATGGGAGGAGTTGTATTAATAATCCACTCTGCAGTCAACCGTGTCTTTAGTATTCTTTTGGGCTATTTCTCACCAAATAATGCAGATCCTCTGGTCTGATTAAAAAAACTGCACTAAATGTACTCTTTTGCTTATGCATCTGTTTTCTCACAGCAAAATTTCTTAATAGATGGGGGCAACATGCATGATGTTCAGAACACAAAACAGTAAACGGATAGCAGCAATGGCAGCTCTTGTCTGCAAAAATCTGTGGTGAAACCATGGTAATGTATTGTCATAAATGAAGTTTTATTACAGCCATGTCAGAATACTATCAAAAGAACAAGTGCTACTGTCTGTTTCCATGGAGATCTTTCCTGTTCCCTGGGGAGCCGAGGAATTGCATGGTATTGTGCAGCTATGCCAGCTGCAATTAGGCAAGCACGCTGCTTGAGAAATATACATGTGGACACCCAGCAGTGACTGTGGACAACAACGGCCAAACACGTGTACACTGCGCTAACAGAGGCTTTTTAAAATGCCACTAGTTTTCATATATTCAAAACTAATGCAGCGCAGCGAGTTGAACTAGGTTTTATAAGAATGCTTAGGCTTATACAGAGGAAGGTACGGAATCGAGGGGGTGACAGAGGTGCACAAGGGAGGATGACAGGGGAGGTATAAAGAACGTATTAGCTTAGGGATATATGATGAGGGATATATGCATAAGCATGATCAGCAAATAGTTACCTGCTTATTTCTTAATTTGTGCATGTACCTACTTCTCGGTGTTTGAGAGAAGGGTATGTTTTCTTGTTACCTTATGTTAGACTTTTGCTCAAATGTGCTAAGCAAGTTGGCTTAGAAAGCCCAATTTACTACTGGTAGGGTTCTTTGAGTCAACTTGCTAATTCAGTCATTCTTTAGGTTAGTGCCAGGGAGCTTTGATTTTTATTATTTTTTTGAAATAATAAATTGTAATGGTTTTTTTTGTATTTGTATTCACTCTTTAATTTTTTTTTTTTTTAAACCTTGAAACTTGTGGATGTGCTAATTAAAATTAACACTACCTCTTGCTATATCAAAGCCTGCAATATATCTTAGGCATGTATTTGGACAGTTTCTTAACTTCTTTTTTTTGGTTAAAATGTTTATATCTATTACAACAATAGAAACTGGTGAATGTTGCAGTAAATGCTTTAAATTTGCATGTGTTTGTATCAGGCTGTATTTGGATGAAGATGTTGGTGCCCTGAAGCACATGTTTATGCTCCTGTTTACCCCTTGCTACACCAAAGTATGTTCCAAGGTGTTGAGCAGCCAATTGCAAGTTTGAGAGGACTTTTTTTTTTTTTTTGTAAAAGCCTGCTCAGATTCCTTGGCATCTTCATAGAATAGCAGCAGCAAGTACTGGAAGGGTTTTCCAGGCTGGTAAGAGTTATAGCTGATAACAGACTCATTTTACATGTAGTAACTAAGCTAGGTCCCTTCAAGCTGTGTGGGAAGTACAGTTGGCTGATGAGCAAAGGAATATTAATTTCCTTTTCTACCTAGGTGCTGTTAAAGCAATTACAGTTAGTAGAAATGCACCAGTACACTGCTCTGGAAATCGTAGTGTACTGCTTTGCTTGTCTTATTCCTCAGAGGACATGGCATGATTTCCAAAAGGTGGTGTTTCCCTCAGTCTTGACCTCCCAGGCTTGGAAGGGGAATATGCTGCTTTTCTGTGCCCATCTGCTGAAGACTGAGGTGTTGGATGATACGTTAACCAGTGATTTGAGAGAGCATTCCCTGAAGAAATTATTCTTGAATCAAATGAAAGATTATGCCATCTTGAAAAAGTTGTTCCATTTCCACGTAGAGTTGTACAGCTCCTTTGAATCAGCTTCAGTACAGATTTGTAAGCAATGTGTGCAGTGGGACTGAGGTTTTTTGATCTTCTCTGTTGCATTTGTTCCAAGATTCAAGTAACTCCCAGGTGAAGGCCTTCTGTTGGGATTGAGAGCACATATCTTTAAAGCTAAAATCCTAAGGACTACATCGTCGTTGTGGGGTGGAGGTGGAGGGAAATATATCACAGTGTGGAAATCGAGTGGAGGTATGAAAGCAGAACTGAACTGGATTGACTAACTCGCCTTATAGCACTGGAGACTGATAGAAAAAAAACAGGCCTCAGGTTCTGACAAATCACTAATTATGAGTTAGAGGGTGACAAATGTTGTGGTGATGATGTAATCTAACCCAGTGAATGTTAGCGGCAAGCATCCATATGCTTGCTTGATCTGGTCACATTTGGACAGCTGATTTATGTATGTTGTTACAGGGTCTGTTTCTGAAACACAGTGAACAGCCTCATCCATTTAAAAAAGATTATTTCCTTAATGAGTAGCAAGAAATACCATCAGTCTAAATGAGTCTAAATGAACTAATTTCCATTAGATTGTTCTGCTTGCTCTTGGGAAGGTTTTTTTTTTACTATGATATTTTAAGAGTCCAATTTAGCTTTCTGTGCATATAACCATAAAATTACTTCTCTTTTGGCAAGACAGTAAGATGTTTTCAATCACCTGTTGAAAAATGCATGTAGGAACATGGTCACTTCCTGTTTGGAGTGATTATTTGTAGGCCTGTTCTTCTGATGCTGTTGAGAACCTGTTAATATTGAGGAACCTTGATAAAGGCACGTTTACAGGGGTTAGAGAGCATGGTTTCCTTTTGCCCTTTAGACTGTATTTGTCTGTAAATACCAATGTTTTTGCACATATCCAGTCACTTGACTCATGTTAACTTGCTCATGGAGAGCACTGCTTCCATCTGCTGCTATTCTGCGTGTTGGAGCAGCCGTTCCAGAATCCCAGGCACATCTGGAGAGAACAGGCTCATGTGTACAGTGTGTCATATGTTCATAATAAATGCCATATAAATACACTGTAAATACACCATATGTTTCATAACTAACTTAAAAGTGAATGTCTACCTGTATAACTGGTGGAAGCTTGGACAAGACTCATCTTGTTGAATCTTTTGGGGGAGGAGGGTGAGCCTTTAGTAAGGGGTCTGCTGTGCTGGGGGACTGTTTGTCAGTCTGACTTGTAGCTGGACAACCGCTCTCAGGTAGGATATTAAGGATTGTGGATATTGACTGGCAATAGACACTAGAATAACTAGACTAATTCTGGTCTTTGAATAAGTGATTGAATTACAGTTCTTGTATTTGAAGGCTGAGTTATTGTCTTAGTAGGAAAAGTTTTACTTCAAAAACTTATGGTTAAGCTGCACACCTTCAGTTTGATATTATAGCATTGTCCTTTTTTGTATGGAACCTGCAGAGCTCAGGCAGTTTGAGACATTGGCTCTCTGTGTCCCCAAACAGTGATTAAATGTAGGCAATCACTCAGAAGATTTGCAAAATGCATGGGACCTTTATTAACACTGATAACTTCAATCCTTTTGCATTTGAAAAGTGACTAGAGAATTCATCTGAAAGTAGGAAGCAGTTATTAGGAGACAGAACTGAAGAATTTCTTCCTCCCCTCAATACATGCTTCTTTCTCATATATATGCCTATGCAGTCTTTTCTTGTATATATGTTAAATGAATATGCTGTCTGGCTTGTGGCATGTTTTTAGGGATACTATGGTCAGATCTTGATATATGTACTTCCTACAAGCTAAGCATGATTTCCTTGCAGATTACAGTAACAACAGGTTTTGAGAAACTAGAGGAATCATGGTCCTTGTACTTCTGGGTGCAAGCAGAGTTATAAAGCATTTCAAGTCAGTTCTGACAAAAGCTGTACTGACGTTGACACAAATACGCTGCTGTCACACTGGACTGACTGGAATTTACTCCCTAACTCTGTGTTTGTCGCTTGTCTGTTGCAGGGATTTACCTCAGTACGGGCAAAAGCAGTGGCAATCCTATTTTGGGCGAACATTTGACGTTTACACCAAACTCTGGAAGTTTCAACAGCAACATCGGTAAGGGAATGTTGTAGGCAGAGGTGTTCTGTGAATTTAAGTGCAGCTTTAATCTCTGGTATGCCCAGGGGCCCCAGTTAAGATTGAGATTTCACTGTGTTATTCAAGCATGAGGGGAGGGAATAGTCACTTCCTATAGTGCTCACAGTCTAATGAATTAAAATGTTGCAGAGTTTTCAGTGTGACTTTTTTAACAAAACCCTTTGCTCTACTTGAATGCGTGTTGCTTTAATATATTACCAAGGAGAAGCTGGGATGATGGCTTCTGCAATGCAGAACCCATCTGGAATGGTGTGAAGCGTCTTGCTGCAGCGTGGGCTCTGATCTTTCACACCTTACATTGGCTGCGTAGTCTGAGTGTTCTCCTGGGAAGTTGTGACCTTTTGTTGTGTGTATTTTGTGCAACATACTTACGTCTAGCTCTCGCAAGTTTATGCAAGATAAATGGTCCTTGTTCTGGTGTGTGTATGCAGTGCTGTTGGCTCTGTAAGGGACTGCTACTGGGAATGCCACACCAGTAATGAAAGCTGAATTTGGCCCTACAGTGGCTCTTTGTCTTGTCTGGTGTGATGTTCTGAGAAATTCTGGAATGCCTTTTAATCTTTCTTTTCTCTCTTGCGAAATAGACAAGTATTGGACAATCGGTATGGGTTGAAGCGGTGGCAAATTGGGGAAATTGCTTCCAAGATTGGGCAGCTCTATTACCATTATTAGTAAGTAAGAACAGAAAAGGATTCAGTAGGGGAAAGCAGTGTTAGTGGCAGCTCCATGCCAAACATCTGGATACTCTGTCAGGAGAAATGAATGTATCAGTTGAGTCATGATGCCTGTTTCTGAATGAGAAGGGCCTTGGGACTGCACGGGGGTGCTGCAGAGAAAGGCGCCCGTGAGCCCAATACTACATTGCTAGTCACGTTGATACTGCTTAAGGACTTATCTCCTGCCTCAAAAGTGTCTCCAAGTCTTCCATGCGTGCTGCATTCAATTCTTGTGCAAAAGTGTGATTTACAAGTTTGGGAGCTTAATGTTGCTTTAAACTTTTGAATTAAATTGTCACCTGTACATATGGGCACAAGATGGGCAGTTTTGATTGTTATCTGAAATGGAATCCAAGCTCTGAAATCTGTCTTCCCAGTAGGCACAAAGAATGAGAGTCTGGCTTTCATACGATGTTACTTGAGGAGGGAGTTTTGCCATTGATGCACAAGATGGTTGAGGGGGCAGGAAGGGAGGGTTTGGCATGGAATTCCATCTGAAGCAGTGAGCTAATCTGGTTCTTCCTCTGCAGCTTGCGCACTTCAGAAACCAGCTATCTCAATGAAGCTTTCTCCTTCTATTCAGCAATTAGGCAGAGGTCATACTACTCCCAAGTCAACAAAGAAGACAGGTATGTCTGAATGAATGCCCTCATTTTTTCAAGACTAGAACAGTGTATGGAAGCAGCAAGTACACATAAACTGTAGGAGCATGACTGGGATAAAATCAATGTTGTTGGAGGACGTTTCTTTTAATCCTCCTGCCATGATTAAAAACCTCAGTATAAATAAGAACTTTGCTGTATGACTGGAGGAATATTCTATTATCTGGTCCTCGCTAGAAAGCTATTAGCTCCAAAGTTTTGTCATTTTGAGTCCTGAGCAGTATCAGCGCTGGGACCTAGTATGCTGTGGTTGGAAGATAAGTTAGTCGGGCTGGAGCAGAGGAACCTGTTTGATTCTAATCAGTCTTTTCAGGGGAACATCAGTTAGTACTGCAGTACAACAGCCATCTGTAACTGACTGGGACAAGGTCCAAGAACTTCAGGAGGCATAACGTCTTCCTTTTAAGACACTATACTGAGAAAGGTACACTCAAAGCGGGGCTGTGTTGTGGCAGTGCAGAAAATGTGCTGCCTGCCAAGAATGTGGACAGACATAAATAAGAATAGGTAGAGAAGTCAGTTCTGGATCCTGTTCTTACATTCTAGCCAGTAAACCTGGGTTCCCTCGTCAAAGTAAAGAAGAAATGATCTCAAGTCCTCATCAAGATAAATGCAGAAGGTTAGTTAGGGAGTTTCCTGCCAAGCATTCAAGGATCTCTGGACTTAAATCAATTGCACGTCTCTAGTCTTGCTGATGTCTAAATGCACCTGTGTGCCACAAAAAGATGAAAGTTTCCCTGCTCTGTTCTGATATCTGTTGATCCTATTATCTTCTCTCTTAAAAATCTCTCAATTTCAGTCTGAGTGCTTGAGCTGTTTCAGAGAAGGTAGGATTGACCAAGCATGTTTCTAGATGCTGTCAGAAGATTATAGAAATGGATGAGTAATTATGGGCTATGCTGACTTGCAGATCTCTTAAGTTGTCCCAGGTGGGTGAACTCTGAGCCAGCTGTGATTATCGTCTGATGCATGGGGTCAGATATTGCCCATGAACTGTCAAAAGGTTTGAAGAGCCAGCTATTATATCTGACTCCCATGCCTGTTCTCATGTAAGGAGACTGTGGGGAAGGGGGAGGCTGTGGCTTTCTTGATGTATATTTTATGTCCCTGTACTCAATTTTAAATAAACCTCTAAGCAGCCAGGTAGCTATCGATCTCCACATGAATTCCGTTAAAACTCTTAATCTGTGGAGTGTTCAGCCTTGCTCTAGTCTTAAACTCCTCTCCCTTACCCCTGTTGCCTACTTATGTTCTATTTTAATCTCAAATTTGGCTGTGGTGTTTTTGTTGTTGTGTTTAGGCCTGAATTAGTGGTTAAGAAGCTACGTTACTATGCAAGGTTTATAGTGGTTTGTCTCTTGCTCAACAAAATGGATGTTGTAAAGGACCTTGTAAAGGTATGTTAAAATGAGGATAAAGGTGCTGAGGGGTGGGAGGTTGCTGGTTGGTTATTCAGGGCTTTTCTCCTAATTAAGGAATCCATAATATAGTCTATTTCAGTTGAAGTATCACTCATTAGATCTATGATGTTAGCTGCTGCTGCAGCATAGCTTTTAATTTTTTTCCTCATTTAATTGATTGTGCTGTTGGATGCCACAGGAGGAAGCAATAACATGGCTAGAGCTATGGAAAGATTCAGTATGATGTGAACATTTGGCTAGAGAAAAACTTTATGAATTTATATAGTTAGTTAGGAATAAACTGTAAGATGCATGTTATTCATCTGAAAGCATGGGGATTATCTGATAACTCTGAGTACCTCTTCATTCCTGTAGTGTATTTAAGACATTGGTGGAATGTCCCCCAGCAAGTCTTCGTGACACACTGTTGCTTGGAAAGCCAGTGTCTCCTAGCTTGATGTTGAGCTTATTTCTCTTCCCTTCCAAACAGATATTGCTCTGTCCCATGTCTAGAATACATCCTGAAAACATTTTGCACCTTCCAGAGACCCATCAGAATTAAACCTTACTAAATGATGTAGATATTACTATGAAATTGGAGAGGCTGGATCTGCATATGGCTCTGCTGTGGGAGTAAAGCACTGAATGCCTATAAACACAATCTTTAGGTACAAAAAATAGAGTACAGGCCAATGTTGATCATTGCTTTTCTAGTATATCTGACATCCAATGTAGTGAATATCTTCTGTGAATCAGACGTTTAATAATGACACTTTAAGCTGAAATGATTTGATAGCATTGTTTGAACACCAAGTAAAAATATTCCAATAGCTGCAGCCTAGATAGGGAGGTACCCTTTAACTACAACAAAGGAACAGCATGCTTCCTCCTGACAGCATATGCTTCTCAAACCCCTCTAACAACCTTGCTGCAAGCAGCTTCTGGTATTGACAGTTTTGTGTAGGTTGCATTACTGTCTTTGTGTCTAAGCTTAATTGAACTGCTAGCTTAGCTTAGTAGCAGCTAAAAAAGCCATACCACTCACTTTCTCAATGTATTTAAAGTTACTTGTAAGCTGAAATTTGAGTCCTTGGTATCCATAGCTTATGGTAATAACCAGTGACATAGCTGTATGTGAGTATGATAGTTATACTTAACTCCAGAAATTCTTTGCATTTGGACCTACCTAAAAGACACTTTGCATTGCCAAAACTCAGTGTAACATTGGCATTCTGTCTCCTGAAAAAGCGTTTTGGCTGGCATGTTAGTCATAAGTGTGCTGCGTATGTTCTCAAGTAATTTTTTTTTTATTATTATTCTTGAAGGCCAGCACAGCTAACAAAATTTTAAAGTTACTGACAGCATGTTAAGCTCTCAGTTTACGAAGTGACTATGTCTGTCTTTGACCTTTTTACATCAGGAACTGTCAGATGAAATTGAAGACTACACTCATCGTTTTAACACTGAAGATCAGGTGGAGTGGAACCTCGTTCTTCAGGAAGTGGCAGCATTTATTGAGGTTAGAATACCATTCCCTTTTAGTTTTTAGTTCAAGAGTAGAATTTTCTGACTTGTTCACCGCAGTGTTGCTGTATCACCAGCTCTCTGTGGTAAGCAGGTGTGCCATGTGCAGGGACAATATTCCTGCCCAATTTAATCATTGAAATGTGTTTACAGTGGTGTAACAGTGACAGCTGTTAAAGTGTCTGAAGAGTCAGAAATGGTCATGTAATGTATTGAAGACAGAAGCATGAAACTGAGATACACTTGGTCACCCTGTTGGTTTTGCTCTTGGTGTTCAGAAAATGGTGGAATTGAAAGCACAGCAGTTATCATGGTCAATATTTTGGAGAGACTGCCAACTCTAGTACTGTTGTTGTGGAAGCCAATCCAATTTGCTGATGTTTTGATTGTGTTTCAAAGTGTACTTTGGAGTACTGGTCTATGACACTGGCAATGCTTAAGCAGTATATAATGGAAATTATGGTGTAATCACGGCAGCCTAACTGATAGGCTCTTAGCATATTTGTAATGTGATGAACTTCTAAGGTTTGTTAAAAGGAAAATAAATTTGTTTATTCTGTCAAATGAGACAGTGTTCTACTTTCCTCCTTTTGTACAAGATGTCACTGTGTAACACGAGTATTTATTTAAATATTGCCAGAGTGGATGGCAGCATTATCATTCGCTCATCTCCTTTGCTATTTATTTCTAGGAAGGGAAGGTGAACTAAAATAGTGCAGGATTCTTCTGTATTGTAGGAATGTTTAGTTTATTCCGCATGAATTTGTAAGGTTGTTGATGACATCTGGTTCCTCAAGTATAGAAAAGCTGAAGCAGAGGTCATGTCATTTAAGGAAGTATATTCTTCTGTTTGCTGTACCTTCATGTACTTTTACCATGTATTTGCTTGCAGTCCCTAAGAGCTGTGGCTTTTCCAGGTGGTGAGGCATTACTGTGTAGCCTGCATACAAATATACAAATATATGTATGGCAAATTAATTTTAAAAATCTGCCTCAGTTGTGAGAACGTTTACTGTAAGTGACAAGACCTTTGGACTTCTTTCTGACTACAAATCTGTATGTTTTCTTGAATTCCTGATTTATTTTGGTTGCTTTTTTTAGGCAGACCCTGTCATGGTTTTAAATGATGACAACACCATTGTAATCACCTCTAACAGGCTTTCTGAAACAGGAGCTCCGTTGCTAGAGCAGGGAATGATAGTGGGACAGCTTGCTCTTGCAGATGCGCTGATTATTGGCAACTGCAACAACCAGGTAAAAGAAATTCCGGGGACTTGAGTTTGTATCTTTGGAGTTCAAAGTCCTCCCCCCTTTGACATCCCTTCTGATCATACAATAGAGGTGAACATTAAAATATTTTGATCGTGATGTTTGCAGTGGCAGCAAGAAGAAGAGGTTCTCAGAAATAAGAGCTAAAAATGAAATGTTAGATATTAGACCTGTTGTACTGACCTCTTACTGCTTATATTCATCATGTCAATTAAGTAGATAAAATTGATTTTCATGTACTGGATTGTTCTTAACAACATTCAAGCATGAGAGGCCTCTGGGGTACGTCTAGAAAAAGGTCGACTTAGGCTTTCGCATGACATACTCCAGCTTGTTGCAACTTCAGTTGCAATAGGAAGGGGTTTTCAAAAGACACTCAAGATCTTGTTTTTTAGATGATGATGATAGTGAAGTTGTACAGATTTCATGACTTCTCTCTGAGCTCTTTTTTCAGGTAAGCAAGGGAGTTGTATCTAAACTACAGTTTGTGTATCTTTTTCAGATTTTGCCTAAATTCATAGTACATAGTGGTTTCAGCACTTGATTGGTAAACACCCCAGAAAAGTCTGTAATTTACAAAGTAGGGGTCTGCACTACAGTGAACTGGCCTGGTAGACCAGTAATAAATAAACTTTGTCCTCTGTGAGCTCTTCTAAAAGTCATTCACCGGTCTTTAGAGATTCAGAGATGACACTGACAGATCCCTGAGAGACAGAAAATGGTCTGTCTGGTATGCAGTTGAATCTCTTACCTGGATAATTCCAAAGAAATACTGTTTAATCTGTATCTGGCAGAGTAAACTGTTTGACTCTTTTGCAGGTCAAGTTCAGTGAATTAACAATTGATATGTTCCGAATGCTACAAGCACTTGAAAGGGAACCAATGAATTTAGCTTCACAAATGAACAAACCTGGAATGCAGGTAAGTTCCATTTCAGTGACAAACCTGAAAACAGATCTTAAGTGGGTTTTGTTTGTTTGTTTTGTTTTAAATGGTGTACTCTTTCAGTATTGTCAGTGTGGAGAGCAGGTTAGTAAAGCTGGTATAACTCTTAGTAGAAGTTAGTGAAGAGTAGGCTCAAACCTGTGGAGTTTGATCCAAGTAATGTCTCTTCCCCCCCTCCCCCTTCTTTTTCTTTTTCTCCTTTGCAAACCTTCAATAGTGAAAAAAATAGCAGAAATAATATTTGGGCATCATTTCACAAATGGTTTCCATTGGTCTAGCCAAGGTACTTCTGAAGGGGTACCATGCCTGTCCTTGTCCATATACACTCACCCCTTCCTTCGTTTTCACTTTAGCAGTCATGCAGCCAGATAAGTTCATCAGTTTGCTAAGTCATCTGAAAGTTAAATATCCCCTTCAGAGAAAGCATAAAAGATATTTTATCTGGAGGCAAAAGGAAATACCTGGATTTTCATTTATTTAATTGAGATGAGGAGTGAATTTTTTCACTCTTTCTTGAATGATGCTTTAGAGAGTAAAAACGATTTAGGTCACAAATTTAAGTGAGGGATAATATAAAGTTCTGGTTCAAATGCTGTGCATCTTGCTTTACTGTGTAGTAGGAAATGCAGCACGGGCAGACCATTTGTGTGGGAAGTATGTTGAAGATGAACATTTATTCTAATAAATAGAAATTTAAAGGGTTATGAAACTGTTTTGGTAATATACCGTTGTTGGTTTTTTGTGTTGTTTTGTTTGGTTTTTTTAACAGGAGTCAACGGAGAAACCAGCCAGGCGGGAAAACCCCCATAAATATCTACTTTATAAACCAACTTTTAGCCAGCTATATACATTTTTAGCAGCATCATTTAAGGTTTGTAAAATTGGTGAATTTATTTGTAATAGAAAAATACCCAGAACGATACGTGACACTGAATAAAATGCGGTTGAGATAATCTCTTATACTTCAAGATAATGAAGCCTTTTTGGCCTTCTTAAAATGTTCAATATGATCTTCAGAGACGATGGAAATATTATAGATACGTGTAATTTGTATAGTAAAAGCAAATCTGTTGACTGCTTTTAAGGGAAAGAAAAAAATTCATTTTAAGACAGAAACCCAGCTTGCTGTTATACAGAAGTTACTATATTATTGCTAAAATACAGCCATCTTCAGAGCGAAGCTTGAACAACTCCTGTGCAAGCGGTCTTTGTACTGGCTGTCCAGTATCAAGAGTGGTGCATGGCAATACTATGGAAAACCTTAAGTAATGTGATGTAATGTAATAGTTGCATATAATTTAATCTTATCCAGTAATTTTATTTGTACATGTGTATGTACACGCACTTATATACAGACATTTATATTTATATATACAGACATATATATAAAAATAAGTGTTTCCTATATATAAAGTGTATCTATTT